AAATTTTTTAATTAAAAATTATTATAAAACTCAAAAATTGATAAAAAATAATAAAAAAAATCTAAACTTTAATATAAAAAAATAAAAATGAAAAAACCCGTGCGATGCACGGCAAAACAAAAACTAGTTGTTAATAATTGACGTGATATATAGGGTTTGGCAATGATGGCCATCCAAGCCTACTCGGATCGCTTGCATCCAAAGCCTTGTGGGAAGCCAAGCTGCGATTTAAAGGGTGGGGTAGCATTGATGTTGTATGCTTCATTGAGTGTGTTGGCGTTAGGTGCAGGAGGGATTGAAGGGTCTCTTCCTGCCCTCGGTGGAGACCAATTTGACCAGAAAGATCCCAAGGAAGCAAAGGCCCTGTCTGCCTTCTTCAACTGGCTCTTGTTGAGTACGGTACTTGGTTCTGCTGTTGGAGTCACAGGCATCGTCTGGATCAGCACTAAAAAGAGCTGGTATTGGGGTTTCTTCATATCAACTGTGGGTACCTTTCTTGGTTTTGTTGTCTTAACACTGGGCAAGCGTGCCTTCCGGCTTGATGTACCCACGGAGAGTCCACTCATAAGGATTGCTCAGGTTTGATTTCTATCTGACCACTGACTCTCTCCAACATTAATTAATTATTACTCAAATGTATGACTTTATAGTTAAATCCTAACTCTAATTAATTAAATATGAGACAAATACAGGTGATAGTTGTGGCTATTAAGAATAGACACTTACCACTACCAGAGAACCCAGATGAACTATATGAGATCAAGGAAGAGGGACAGGATTGTGGTGAGGAAAAAATCAGGAATACTACCCAATTCAGGTGGTTAGACAAAGCAGCAATTCTTCCAAATGACACAACTAGTCCAGCACCATGGAAAGTATGCACGGTGACCCAAGTAGAAGAAGTGAAGGTTCTAACCAGAATGTTGCCAATTCTAGGCAGCACCATCATAATGAATACATGTCTGGCACAGCTGCAGACCTTCTCTGTAGAACAGGGCAATTTCATGGATAGGCAACTTGGTAATATTAAGATTCCTGCTCCCTCAATTGCGGTCATCCCACTGATCTTCATGGTCTTTCTCATTCCCACCTACGAGTTTGTTTTCGTCCCTTTTGCCAGAAAGATAACTCACCATCGATCTGGTATCACACAACTTCAAAGAGTGGGGGTGGGACTGGTTCTGTCAGCCATTTCAATGGTCGTGGCCGGTGTTGTTGAGGTGAAAAGAAAGAACCAAGCTCACAATCACAAGGACATAACCAAGCCCATAAGTGTCTTCTGGCTCTCCTTCCAGTATGGGATTTTTGGAATTGCAGACATGTTCACTCTGGTGGGACTATTGGAATTCTTCTACAGGGAAGCTCCGGTACACATGAAATCACTGTCCACCTCGTTTACCTCGCTCTCGCTGTCCTTCGGGTACTTTTTGAGCAGTGCATTTGTGAGCATCACAAACGCCGTCACCAAGAGAATAACTCCAAGCAAACAAGGTTGGTTGCAAGGAATTAACATAAACGAGAACAATGTCGATCTCTTCTACTGGTTTCTGGCAGTTCTTAGTTGCCTTAACTTTGCAAATTATCTCTACTGGGCATCTTGGTACAAGTACAAGACCGAGGAAGAGAACGACATAGTCCCTAAGGAAACTGAAGCAGCAGCGAAGACAAATGAAGTTCCTACTTCTGATAACATTAACACACAGGATACTAAAGACATATGATAGACAGAGGAAGAGAGTGGTCCTAAGGAGGAGATTGAACACAAATGAACCTTCTAATCTTACTTCTTGGTAATAATTATTAAGACGTATAATAATTTAAATTATATTTACACTTATTGTTAATATTTTATATGGTAGAATATTCTCTTTATATATTTTATACTTTAAAATATTCTCTTTATAAATACCTATATATAGATCATTGTACATACAATATTAGTCAATAAAGCAATAAACTTTTCTTTAAATATTTCTCTCTCCTCCGTTTCGATTTCTATCATGGTATTAGAGCAATAAGCTCATGTTTCTTCTTTTATCATTGCTTGGTTACTGAGTTGGATTTTCAGATCTATTCTGAATCTGAAACTTTGTTGTTGGATTCTTTTCTTCTATAGATTGGATTGTTTATTCTCAATTCTCACATCTTCTTTGAGAGATTTTTTTCAGTATTGTGAGTTCTACTAATTTTATGATGAGTTTTGAAAGAACTGTGATTCATCCTGCTGTTGCAATAGTTGCCAAAGAGATGATAAATCAACCTACTGTCAACCCTGAATTTCTAAAATAGGTGATATTAAATCTTCTTAATGCCCCTACTGCCTTATCTGCTACTCTAGGTACTAAACCTTGGTATTTTGATTCTAGTTGTTGTAATCACATGTCTTCAACTACTGCTTATTTCTCTTCAATGTCACCAAATAATTTCTTTCCTGACATTTATTTTGCTGATGGTTCCCTTATGAATGTTAGTCACATCGGTAATATTTCTACAAATTCATTGACTTTACGAAATGCTTTCTTAGTTCCAAAACTTAGTTATAATCTTTTATCTATTGGTCAGTTATGTGATCTTGGTCTTGAAATAACATTTTCTACTCATGGTTGTCATGTGTAGGACCCACAAACATGACAACTTCTTGGAACTGGTCGCAAGGTGGGGCGTCTGTTTGAGCTTAATTATCTGCATATACCTCATCATAAAATGGATACACCATCATTTCTAAATGACCGATTCATCCAAATCCTACTTTGTACTGCTGAATTAAAGTTTTTGCAAATTCCATATCAACAAATCTCCCAAGCCTGTGTTGCTACTAATAGTTCTCCTTTTCAGTTATGGCACTCACGACTCAGACACACCTCAGTCGATAAACTCCGTCCTCTTATCTCTCGTAGTTTATTAGGATCTGTTCTGAATGAATCATTGCATTGTGTGTTATCTGTTATGTCAATCTGCAAAACAACCAACTTTATCGTTTACTAGTAGTCATTCTCTTTCTGCTGCTTCTTTTGATCTCGTGCATTCCGATGTTTGGGTCCATCTCCAACACCTACCATGGGGGGTTCTAGGTATTTTGAGTTATTTATTGATGATCATACTCATTTTATCTGGATATATTTTATGAAAAATCGTTTTGAGTTACTACAAATTTATATTGATTTTGCTACCATGGTCAAAACCCATTTCTCTAAAATTATCCAAGTTTTGAGAACTGACAATGCCACTGAATATCTTAGTACTAAACTTCAATCCTTTTTTAAAGAATAAGGTACACTGATATAACAATCTTGTCCTTACACTTCTGAACAAAATGGGCAAGCCGAACGTAAACATAGACACATCCTTGATTCTATTCGTGCTTTGCTCATTTTGTCTTCTTGTCCAAAGCGATTTTGGGGTGAAGCTACTTTTATAGTTGTTTATCTCATTAATCAGATTCCATCATCGATCATCAATAATAAGTCTCCATATGAATGTTTGCATGGTATTCCTCTTGCCTATGATCTTCTTAAGATTTTTTGTTGTGCTTGTTTTGTTTTTCTTCCACCTCATGAACATAATAATATTATTGCTAAAGCTCAATTATGTTGTTTTTTGGGTTATGGGATTACACATAAAGGATATCATTGTTGGGATCCTATGTCACAAAAACTTTGAGTCTTGCATTATGTTGTTTGTTGGGAACACACTATGTTTTTCTCATTATCAAACTTCCAAGTGTCATTTTTTGATCAACCTCAACTTTTTACTAACCCTTCTATTGAGCTTTTCCCAGTGACTCTAATGCAGATACATTTAATGAGCTCCATGATGCCTCTCCACATCCTTCACTTGGTTTTATAGAAGATGTTCTACCTGTTGGTAAGGCATCAAACAATGCTGAGTCTTCTTCCCTTACCTCTTCTGTATCACTTGTTGGATCTAACCCTGTTAATATTGAACCTGAAAATGAGATTCTTAATCCACCTTCAGGTCATCATACTCAGGTAAGAAATCCTCTTAGATATTTTCATGATTATCATTGTTTTCCTACTATTATCTCCTTACATGAGCCTTAATCCTACCAAGAAGCCTCTTCTAACCCTCTTTGGCAGCGAGCTATGCAAGATGAATTACAAGCTCTTGACAAAACTTGTACATGGCTTTAGTTGATCTTTCTGCTGGAAAGCCTCTAGTTGGTCGTAAATTGGTGTACAAGATCAAAACTCGGTCTAATGGTTCCGTGGAGCGTTACAAGGCTTGTTTGGTTGCTAAAGGATTTACTCAGGAATATGGGATTGATTATGAGGAAACCTTTGCACCTGTTGCTCATCCTACTTTACTTCGTAGTTTGATTGCTATTGTTGTTGCAAAAGGATGGAAATTATTTTAGATGGATGTGAAAAATGCCTTTCTAAATGGTGATCTTGCACAAGAAGTTTACATGAAACCACCTCCTGGACTTGAACATCCTCCAAACAAAGTTTGTCGATTGAAACGAGCTTTATATGGTTTGAAACAAGCACCTCGAGCCTAGTTTGCCAAGAGTAGTTCCACCATTAGTGAATTTGGTTTACTTCTAGTCCTCATGATACTATGCTGTTCATACCCAAGACTAATCATGGTATGGTTCTACTACTTCTTTATGTTGATGATATGATCATTATTGGGAATGATATTTCAGGTATTCATGATCTTAAGCAATTTCTCAGTCATAAGTTTGAGATGAAAGATCTTGGTGTTTTGAGCTATTTCTTGGGACTTGGGGTCACCTCTTCTGATGATGGTTATCTTCTCTCCCAAACAAAATATGCTTCTGATCTTATATTTAAAGCTAGACTCACTGACAGTAAAACTGCATCTACTCCTCTTGAGCCAAATGTTCAACTTACATCTATGGATGGTTCTCCATTAGCTAATCCTACTCGCTACAAACAGGTGGTTGGAAGTCTGATTTATCTCACTACAACACAACCAGATATAGCTTATGCAGTTCATGTTGTTAGCCAGTTTATGGCTACGGTTCGCTCCACTTACTATGCAACAGTACTTCGCATTATTTGGTATATTAAAGGTATCATGTTTCATGGGCTTCACTTTTCTACTCATTCATCTCTTGAACTTTGTGCTTACTCTGACGCTGATTGGGCTGGAGACTCTAATGATCGTAAATCCACCACTAGATATTGCCTTTTTCTTGGTGATTCCTTAATCTCTTAGTGTAGCAAAAGGCAGATAGTTCCATCATGTTTTAGCATAAAGGCTGAATATCGAGCACTTGGAGACGCCACATCAGAGTTACTTAATTTACATTGGCTATTAAAAGATATGGGTGTTTCTCAACCGCCTGATACTAAAAGATATGAGTGTTTCTCAACCTCATGTTATTAATCTTTATTGTGACAATTAGAGTACCATGTAGATTTCTCATAATGATATTTTCCATGAATGCACTAAACACATTGAGGTTAACTGTCACTTTATTTGCCATCATATTGCACAAGGAACTGTTCATTTGGCTTTTATTGGCTCCGTTGATCAACCAGCAAACCTTTTCACCAAGGCTCATTTTCCTGAACACTTTCGTACTCTTCTTTCCAAACTCAAGTTGGTTTCATCACAACCACCTTAAGTTTGAGGGGATGTTAAGATGTGAACAGAATAATTTAGATTATATTCACACTTATTGTAAATATTTTATACCTTAAAATATTTTTTTATATACTTTATACCTTAGAATATTTTTTTTGTAAATACCTATATATAGATCGTTGTACATACAGTATTATTCAAGAAAACAATAAACTTTTTCTTCAAATATTTCTCCTCCTTTTCGATTTCTATCAATAACACCAAAGAAGAAGCAATTAATTAATAAAACCAAAATAGTTTTTTGTTTTGTACAAAAATGATTGAGAAACATGTACTTCATCCTACTTTGGTTGGTTCCAAAGAATGTGTTTCTTCCTTGTAAAATAACAAAGAGTCCCTCTTAGGGGAGATCGGGGTGTTTATGCAAACATGTACTATTAGCTCGCTTCATGTAATTTCTTGCTGTATCAAATTTTGAAGAAAATAAAAATGGCTAATCACACTCATACCATCACTATTGAGAATTTGAGATGGAATTAAAGCTGATCGATTAATATATCTATTGTGAGAGAGTCCAGGGCGGCTGCGCCATTCTTAATTAAGGAAGATGAACATATAGGTTTGAAATTAACTTCTCAAGGAATGTCTGGGGTTGGTTTATCTTTTTTTTATTTCGTATAATAGTTAAAATTTAAAAGATAATATATAATGAATAATGGTGATAAGTAACTAAAAACATTTAATAGATAATAAATGATAAAAAGTAAGTAGTTGATAATATGTGATAAATTTTGATATATGAATACAATGATTTAGTTATACAGTAGTAGTTAATTATTGTTATTTAATGTTAAATAACTAATAAAATAAAAACATATTTAAAAGTAATTAGAAGAAAATTTTTTACTTTTTATATTTTTTATTATTAAATTATTAATTTTATATAAATAAAAACACTAGGTAAAGGCCCCAATGTATAGGCAATCAGTGGAGGCTTCTCCGTCTAACGTGTGGTACTTTATAATCTGATAAAATCCAGACGGGCAAAACACTACACTCAAAATAAAAACAGAGTCAACTAGCACTAAATTACTACACAATAATGAGCTCAGGTTGGAACAATGGGCTACCTCCCATTCATTAGTATCTGTTGTTGGGACATATATCTAATCCGGCCCAAAAACTCCGAGGGTTTAGGCGCTCATGGAAACTTAATATAATGTAAGTCATGTCTTGGAAAGAAAATGTTGGAAAGAACCTAAAAAGAATATATTCACTTATAAATAAATGTTTTACTTTAAGTTAAATTTAAGATTTAAATTTTAAAGTTAATCTTTTAAAAAAATAAATTTATTTAAACACATCAATTCTTAAACATTATAGGAAGGAATTAATATTGAGATTTATAAAGATTGACACAAAAATACAATTTTTTTTTTTGAACTTTTTACACATGGGCGGTTCGAAACCCGCCGAAGAGGAGAAAATGCACTTTGCAATGGCAAGTGCCATTGGGCCTCTAGATCTAGTGCGACACAAAAATACAATTATTACTCAAACAGAGAAAAAAGAAAGGATTTGGAAAGAGTAGTGCCTAGATTTGGGGCATAATTATCGCAACACAATATGGTGTTATGATTACATATAAAAATAATATTTTTTAAAATATTAATTTTATTTAATTGATTATTATAAATATTAAAAAATTATGAATATTAATTATAAATAATAAAATAATTAATATTAATTATTTTATAAAAATTTATTTATACATTAATATTTTTAAATATTATAATTAATTATTTAAAAAATATTAATATTTATCTAGCCTAGTGTGAGGCTATCAGCACAGCCGTCGATTTGGACCAGTTTTTTGGGGACATTTTCTTTTTTGGGATACTTTTTTGGGACATGATTCCATATGTTGATGTGATTTTTTATAT